GTAGCACCAGGGTTGTTTTTCCCTTCCAATTGAGATTACTAAGGCAGAGAATGGATTTACGTCAATAAGCAAAGAAAAACATATGGGGTGGGTCAGAGTGTGGAGGGGAAAAAAGACACCAGCTTGGCTGATGGAAGAATGAAAGATGGGGAAAATAGAAGCAGGATGGAAGAGACAAACAATATTTCTGGCCCCCCGCAGCACGGGTACTGGTCAGATGCGATGTTGCTTTCAGAAGAGCCAATTGAACCATCAAGAAATGCAGCTTCAAAGAGAAAGAGATGACCTACGTAGCTTCAGATCAGAGATGAAGGTGGGGAAAGAAAAGAGAGAAAGACAAGTGGAAAGCGGCATGTTCTTTTGGAAGCCACCCACCGGAGGCCTCTGCTCCTGGCACACCGGTGAGGCTCCGTCCTTCCCGAGAACATCTCCGGGCAGGAGCATTTCCCTGCCCAGCTCCACAGGGACACTGTTATTCCTAAGTGCCCCTGGGCAATTTCTGCTTTGCAATCCCCAAATCATTAAATAAAACCCAAGGAGAAATCGCTTCAAAGCGTTGTCCTGCCTTAAGCAATTCTCTTCAAAACACCGCCCTCCCCCCCAAACAAACAGACATACAGACTTCTAGAAATATGAACTTAATAGCCGAGTAGCAGGTAACAATGATTTGCATAGCCGGCGTCCCTGTAATTTAAGCAGAGATGCCAAGGGAGGCTGAGGTTCCCACAGACCGAGGGACCCGAGCTCATCCGGAAGGCTGTCAGTCATTTCAACAGGCTTTGAATAAAGCCGGCGGGGACTTCCCGGTTAATTCCCCCTAAGGACTGTCAGGAAGTGCTCCCCAGTGGGGCCTTTCAGGGCCTAGGAGCTCATTTAGCCCATCTATTTATTACAAGGCCTCCCGACTTGAGGTTGTCGTTCAGCACCCACCAAAAAGCGGTTTCTGAAGCTGCAGAAAGGAGGACTTTGTGTCCCGTTGGTTCCACATTGTTTTGCCTTGCTTCTGAATAGGATCCCTAAAAAAATGTAAATGAAAAATCCAAAACCAAAAAAAACCTAAGCCATAAGCAACTACTTCCCGGCAAGCGGAAAGGACTCTTTCTAGTATCATCTCTGGTAATTCATCAGTGATGAATGGGTTGTGTACCTCTGAAGAGATACTGTTGGTTCAGGACTCAGAAGGGGCTCCTGAACCGGCTCCTCGCAGCTGGCAGAGCACCAGGTCACTACTGGCAGCCCCGACTGCATCGCAGTTTCTCAGTGTAAGGTGGTGGATGATTCCCCATCCTCATGCGGCTGCCCTGGTATAACCCGGCTCCCTGGAACAGCACCGTGGCTGCTGGAGACGAGGCAGATACCCACCCTCAGTCATGGCTCCAATCCTGTTTCCAAGCCCAAGCTGTGACAGGGAGCTGGACCAGGAGCTGCACTGGCCTGGCTGTGATGCTGTGGATTTCCACAGGGCACCCAAACAGCAGAGGAGCTCCCTCACAAGAAAAGAGGGACCCCAGTTCCCCAGTAGTCTTCACCTACAGGGAGCAACCTTCAGCAAGGCCTGGAGTCCAGTTCAGTGCCAGGGGCCAGACCAGCCCTAACACCATGTTTCTAACTCAGCCCCACACATCAGCCTCAGAAGCGTTTAGACACTACACTGCCTCGGGGTATCTAATTCTGTTTCTTAACCTTCTCTCAAACACACGAATTGTCCCCATTTGTGCTTTCTGCCGAAAAAGTGCTTTCGTGAGAACCCTCGTCCCCATCCTGGGGGAAGATGTAATATTTTAAGGGCTTTTTTTTTTTTCATTTTCGTAGACATAAAATAGTTTCCCATACAACTTCTGCCCTCAGTTGCCTGCCTCCCAAAGGAAATGACCCCCAAGAATGCCTTCTTTTCCCAAAGGACCACTTCCCATGGAGAGTGAAAGAAAAAGAAAGGTAATAAAGAAGAGGAAAATAAGAGGAGGGAAAGAAAAAAAGAGAAGAGAAGAGAAGAGAAGAGAAGAGAAGAGAAGAGAAGAGAAGAGAAGAGAAGAGAAGAGAAGAGAAGAGAAGAGAAGAGAGAAGAGGAAGAGAAAAGAGAAAGAAAAAAAGAAGAAAAGAAGAGAAAAGAAGAGAAGAGAAAAGAAGAGAAAAGAAAAGAAAAGAAAAGAAAAGAAAGAAAAGAAAAGAAAAGAAAAGAAAAGAAAAGAAAAGAAAAGAAAAGAAAAGAAAAGAAAAGAAAAGAAAAGAAAAGAAAAAAAAGAAAAGAAAAGAAAAGAAAAGAAAAGAAAAGAAAAGAAAAGAAAAGAAAAGAAAAGAAAAGAAAAGAAAAGAAAAGAAAAGAAAAGAAAAGAAAAGAAAAGAGAAAAGAAAAGAGAGGAGAGAGGAGAGGAGGGGAGGGGAGGGGCAGGGAGGGGAGGGAAGGGAAGGGAAGGGAAGGGAAGGGAAGGGAAGGGAAGGGAAGGGAAAAGATTTGAATTTGTTGGAATTTTCGGTGAAAGGCCTCATGGAAACCAGGGATTTTAAGCAGAACGAAGATATTATGTTAACACACCTCAGTTTAAACGATTTGGTGCTGTGTGTTATTTACCTGCAAGTAAAGCCAGCAGCCAAATAAATCCCGATGGATCGGGGACTTTAAAATCAGGCCTATAGCTCCACCCTAAAGAAAATTAAAGGTAAAGCTTGGGCGGTAGAGCCTGGCTACCCACAGCCCTGGCCTTGACCAGGGCGATGTACAATGAAGGTCTTTCCTTACCAGTCTGAAAGTAATTAATTTTTTATGAGTTTTCATAAACTTCGTTATTCTGTCATCAAATATGCCAGCCATGGCCTGACACGTCGTCTCATAGGTAATCTAAATAGTACGCAGAAGGACAAAGATTTAATGAATATCTGGTCTGATAGTGGACATTCGGTGAACATCTCTGTTGGTCCAGCAGCGTTCCAAGGACTCTTCGATCCTTTCAAGTGAGGATCCAACTTGCACCCTTTCCCTAAATTAAGAAGATTACAGCTTTAAACGTAAGTCTTTCTAGGAAGGAATGGAGTGATTGATAGCTGCTATTCCAATAATTATGGCACTCTTAAAAATAAAAGAGCAAGGACGTGAAGCACATTGAAACATGCTACTAAGCATCACCCGGAGCTCGAGGTACCTCCCGCCGCCAAAGCTCCCGGGTGGCTGGGTGGAGAACGCTCCCCAAAAGCCCGGACCAAAATATAGCGGGTGATTCCCCAGGTACCTGCCGAGGAGCTACCTGCACCCCGGCCTTGCCAGCAGCGCTGCCGGCTCGGCTAGCAACACTCCATGAGCTCTCACCTCTCTGGCAATCTTGCCCAGACCTCTAATGTGGGGCTTCTTCACAGAGGTATTTTTTTAAACGCAATACTTAACCACCTCAAAGGTTTAAAAAATGTATTCTCACCTCTGCTGCGTTTGGAAACTCCAGCTGGATGAATAATCCCCAGGGACTGAGATTCTCGGTCCCAGGACAGCTGCTAACTGCTGATATAAAGATGTATAGATCAGCATATTTTTGCTTTAAGGCTCTGTCCGTAGGCCAGGGCGCACACTGTTACACTATTTCGATGCAAGCCGTCGGGATAGTGTGGGTCGCTGGCAGTATTTTTGATCTTTTTCTTTTTTTTTTTTTTTTTTTTTTAATGTACAGTTTTATTCCTTGCTCTCCTGTGGGTTCACCTCTGCAGGGTTCTGCATCTCTGCTCCTCACGCTACGTGTAGCAAGGGTCAGAGTCGTGACCTGAATTAAGGTAGTTACCACTGCCGGCTGTTAATGTCACGAGTAGTGTCGCTATTATATGGGGCGTGGGGGAGAAGAAAAAGGTGGGAAAAGACAGAGGCGAAGCGGACACGACCGATGGCGCTCAGGCTCGCAGTCAGCTCTAATGGGACACAGGGCTGAGCCGGGACGCCTCAGGACCCCGGCCTTCCCCGGGAGCCCTCCCGACGGCGGTACCGAGTCCCGCGGGGGTGAGGGTTTCGCTCCGATCGCAGCTGGGGGCAAAGCCCGGCCCGACGGTAAAGCGGAGGAAAACCTGTCCCGGACCCCGCCACTGATGAAACCCCCTAAGAGGTGGAAAAGGGATGGAGCGGGGGAGGGGGCTTGGAGCTGATGTCTCTCGGCATTGCTAGCATAGAACCTCCAGGTCCTTCCCCACCGAGGGAAAAGCACGTCCCCGCTGGGCTGTGCCACTTCCCAGACACAGAGCCCGGCGTTCACAGCTGGAGAGGGCGCAGAGCTGCTGGGGCTGGGCTGATATTCCCTCACGGGTCACCATTTAAGTGCTTAACACAGGGTTCCAGGGTCCATTGTGGTGTTGCCTTTTCTTTTTGTTCCTCTCCCCTCCCAGCAGAGATTCCAGCATCTCCCCATCCAGGCCGGTTTCTGGGGAACAAAGCCTGGGGATCTGGGGGAAAGCCAGCCCCTCACCCCTGCGAGGTGCTCTTGCTGCTCCTAATGAGGATCATTTCTTTAGCCTACAGTCCCGGCTTTCATTATGGAGCCTGTCTCGGTCCGTTAATGGTCATTAGGCTGCAGCCCAGTAACTCCCCCGCCAGATCATGTGCATGCTAAAAAAAAAAAAATTAATTAAAATAAGAATAATAAAAAATGTCTTTAGTGATATTAGTCATAATCTCCATCGTCATCATCTGGCCTAAATTAGCTACCCATTAACACAAACATTCCACCCTTCCACCTCTCTAGAAGCAGAGGTTTTTCTCCACCAGTCCCAGTTCTGAATGCTTTGCGAGTTTCGGGGGGCTAGCACCTTGCCTGCCCGGGGATCTCCGTCTTTATTCCCGCTGGCTCAGACCGAGGAGGTTTGGGGAGGTAATTTCTTTTCGAAAATGCTATTTGGGATATTTCGTTGAGCTTTGCTCTGGCAGAGAGGACAGGGATGCGGAGGAAGCTGACTGCAATATTTGTACTTGCTATTTTCCTTTGATATTTTTTCCTCCCCTCTTTTTTCCCTAAGCAGATCGGTAAATCAAACCTGGGTCTGCAAAGTGAAGCCGAAGAGTCTCCCCTTCTATATTTTAACTTTTTTGGAGTGTCTCTGAGCTCGTGAGTTTTGTGTGTGCTTTTATGTCTCCTCAGCTCTGTCGGATTTTATGAAAATGAGCAGTATTGAAAGCTTTTCCATCCCGCTAGCTGTGAGCCTCACATAAATGATGTAAATGGCTCGAAGGGTTTTTTTCAAGTGAACTGTGTAGATCTGTGAAAATAATATCAGGGTTTTCCGTCAGAATGAGCTTAGCACTGTACTGAGGCATACCATAATCTGACCCGACACCTCCGACCATCTGCGCTATCTATCTGCCTTCTGATTTACCAAATCTTCACAAGCAAAAGACAAATTGTACTTGATACTAAAGAAAAGACGCCGAGCCCCAGTCCAGCTCCATTTCTGCGGAGAAATGATTGGAGAAAATGTAAATCTGTTTAATTTCGGTCTGTGGGCAACTAGCAAAGGAGCTTTCTTGAAGAAGGGAAAAAAAGAAAACAAAAATAAAATTAGAAAAAATAAGGAAAAAAAAAAAAGAAGAAAGACAATAACAAGATATCAAATTAAGAAGGGATTTCTTTGACAAGCGTTCTAGAAAAAAATGCATTGCAAAGAGCAGAAGGGAGAACGTATTGAGCTTAATTCAAAATATATGCTGCCATATATGCTGCCTTTCGGAGTACGGTCCCTAATGTTGCCGGGAATAAACTGCCACCGAGCAGCTAGATTTAGAATAAAAAGTGATTGCCTTCTTGATTTCCCCCCTTCTCGCCAGAAAACAGCTCATACCCTCACCGCTCAGAAAGCGATTTCATCCCCGCCGCGACGGCCGCGGCTTGCCCCTCTCCTCCGAAGGGGCGGATAGGGAAAAATCCGCTGGGAATGATTACTACAAGATGATCAATATTTCAAAAGATTCATGAAATCTGCTTTACGTTGCTGTCCTGACCTACAAATGACTTCTCACTCCCCGCGACTATTCTCGACGTCTATTCAGGACCATTCAGCCGAAAACAATAAGGTTTTAAATGTTAAGATATATGTATAGTTATATAAAGCTTTAGTTGAACGGAGAAGGGCACTGGGCTCTTTGCAGATAATTTCTCGTCTTAACAGAGACGGACAGTCACCAACAAGGGGAAGGGGGAGAGTTTTTCCTAAATCTTGGCTCTTGCTGCTGTCCTACCGCTGCACTGATTGTAACCGACAGCCTCAGCACCGACACTGTCACTGTTGTGCAGGCGGGTTTTTATCTGGTTTCTCATCTCTGCCTTATGCCCCTCTCCAACCCGCGGTGCTCAGAGCTGTGTGCGTACAGCCCCGGGCCAAAGCCCACAGCTTTTTTTTGGAGGATGCAGGGGGTACCGGCCACTCCATCGCGGGGACCGCTCCCTCCAACTTCCGGGCAGCAAACCGCAGCCGGTATCCCCCTTTCCCTGCTCTGCCCCTGCTCTGGCGGTGGCCCCGGGGGAGCGGAACGGGACAGGACGGGCGCCCCGGGAAGCGGGCGGGGAGATGCCGGTGACGGCGGCGCGGGGACTTCCGCCGTGATTGGCAGCGGCTGACAGTGAGTGGCAGCCCCGCCATGGAAACCCGGGAGCCAATCTGCCGAGCCCGGCAGCAAATCAGGCGCTCCCGCAGCAGCGCGGCGGCGGCGCGGAGCCGGCTTGTGCTTTTTCTGGTTCCCTTTTTTTATTATTATTCTTTCCTTTTTTTTTTTTCTCTCTTCCTTTTTCTCCCTTCCCTCCCTCCCCGCCCGCCCGCCCTCCCCCCGCTCCATCCTCCTCCGCCTCGCCCCTGCCCACCTCCCCCAGTCGCCGGAGCCGCCGAGCGCTCCCCATCGTCTCTCCGTCCTCTTCCGTCCTTCCCGCCGCAACTCCGCCAGCGCCGGAGGAGGCAGAAGCGGAGCGAGGGGCGGGCGCCGGGGCCGCTGCCCGCTTCCCGGTGCGGGCATCGCCGGGGGAGCGCGGAGCGCGGAGCGGAGCCCGGCGCCGCCTCCATGTTCCAGCTGCCCATCCTCAATTTCAGCCCGCAGCAAGTGGCTGGGGTCTGCGAGACCCTGGAGGAGAGCGGGGACATCGAGCGCCTGGGGCGCTTCCTCTGGTCCCTGCCCGTGGCCCCTGCGGCTTGCGAGGCCCTCAACAAGAACGAGTCGGTGCTGAGAGCCCGGGCCATAGTGGCCTTTCACACGGGGAACTACCGGGAGCTCTACCACATCCTGGAGAACCACAAGTTCACCAAGGAGTCTCACGCCAAACTGCAAGCGCTCTGGCTGGAAGCGCATTACCAGGAGGCGGAGAAGCTGCGGGGCCGACCCCTGGGGCCGGTGGACAAGTACCGGGTGAGAAAGAAGTTCCCTCTGCCCCGCACCATCTGGGACGGCGAGCAGAAGACACATTGCTTCAAGGAGCGGACGAGGCATTTGCTGCGGGAGTGGTACCTGCAGGACCCTTATCCCAACCCCAGCAAAAAGCGGGAACTGGCTCAGGCTACGGGACTTACCCCCACGCAAGTGGGCAACTGGTTCAAAAACCGCAGGCAAAGGGACAGGGCGGCAGCCGCTAAGAACAGGTAAGGTGCTGCCAGTCCCGCGGAGGCACAGGCCACCCTCCACCCAGGGAGACTTCTTTCCCCGGGGCCGGGGGTCCGGTGCGATGCAGCCCGGCCCCGGACAGCCCCTCTGTGGGGACGTAAAAACGACCCCGGGAAGTTTCTCCCAGGGAAATGCAGCGAGATAACGTAGGAGCAACGGGAAAACCCGATGGCTTTTTATCTATTTATTTATTTCTAATATGGGGCTCCCCTTGGCCGCTCGCGGGGCGAGGGACAAGGGCCCTCCCGGCTGGAGGAGCTGCAATGAGCCCGCAGGACCCGCCGGCAGAAGGGCCGCGTTTAGCTGCCGAGCGGGGAGAAGCCCCCCTTCTGAGTTTTTCTTGGACATACAGGAACCTATTTCATATATGTCCAGCCGGAGCAGGGCCGGCAATGCTCCTTTCAGGCCCTGCTCGTTTGCAGAGAGCCGCCTTGACCTAAATCCCTCTGGAGCCAGCCGGGATCTACTTCTTGGAATATTTTTCTTCTTTCTCTTCTTCCTTCCTTCCTTCCTTCCTTCCTTCCTTCCTTCCTTCCTTCCTTCCTTCCTTCCTTCCTTCCTTCCTTCCTTCCTTCCTTCCTTCCTTCCTTCCTTCCTTCCTTCCTTCCTTCCTTCCTTCCTTCCTTCCTTCCTTCTTTCTTTCTTTCTTTCTCTTTTCTTTTTCTTTCTTTCTTTCTTTCTTTCTTTCTTTCTTTCTTTCTTTCTTTCTTTCTTTCTTTCTTTCTTTCTTTCTTTCTTTCTTTCTTTCTTTCTTTCTTTCTTTCTTTCTTTCTTTCTTTTTTCTTTCCTTTCTTTCTTTCTCTTTCTTTCTTTCTTTCTTTCTTTCTTTCTTTCTTTCTTTCTTTCTTTTTCTTTCTCTCTTTCTTTCTCTTTCTCTCTTTCTTTCTTTCTCTTTCTTTCTTTCTCTTTCTTTCTTTCTTTCCCTTTCTTTCTTTCTTTCTCTTTCTTTCTTTCTTTCTCTCCTTCTCTCTTTCTTTCTTTCTCTCTTTCTCTCTTTCTTTTCTTTCTTCTCTTTCTTTCTCTGTCTTTCTTTCTTTCTTTCTCTCTTTCTCTCTTTCTTTCCTTCTTTATTTATTTCTCCCTTTCTTTCTCTCTTTCTTTCTCTCTCTCTTCCTCTCTCTCTTTCTCTCTCCCTTTTTCTTCCTTTTCTTTCTTTTCCTTCTTTTCCTTCATCTTAAAAAAAAATCGCAGTGTTACCCCTACACAAGCAGATGCCCCGGGAAATGGGGAAGGGAGTCCGATCTCCCGTTATCCCCCCTCCAGCAGCCTGAGGGGGGTTGTCCCTACTTGTCAGCCCGCAGCCCCGCCGAGCGCAGACGGGCGGCCATACATCGGGGAAGCGGGTGCTGTCACCCGCAGCCCGTTTCCGTCGGCTGAGAGGGCAGATGTCAGGCCTGCTGGAGGGGCCCCGCCTCCCGGGAGATGCTGCAGGGAATTACAGGGCCCTCGGATGAGGCCCAGTTTTGTGGGACAAGATCCGAAAGGGGACACACACAGAGACACCTGACTCCCGGGTGTGTAGGCCTAGGAGCAGGGCAGGCCCTGGGGTGGGCATCCAGTTCCTCGGGCAGAGCCTCCAGACTAACAGGGCTAACTGGTGTGAACTGGAGGTGGGGACAGAGGCGCGGGGGCGGGGGGGAGTGTTCAAGATTGCCCCGGCGGGGAGACGGGGGGCTGCAGCCCATCCCAGGGCAGGGGGCCTTGCGATGATGCTGTGTGTGCCGCTTCCTTGCAGGCTGCAGCAGCAGGTCCTAACGCAGGGCTCGGTGCGCTCGCTGCAAGCGGAGGAGGAGAGCGGCGGGGAAGCAGGGGGGGCAGCCTCCAGCCCTGCAGCCAGCCTCTCCAGCAAAGCGGCCACCTCCGCCATCTCCATCACATCCAGCGACAGTGAATGTGACATCTGACCCACCGCCACGGCAAACCGCGGGCTGCGGGGATGGGGGAGCAGCTAAGCGGTGCCTTCCGACACGGCTTACCATCACCCGGCCGCGATGGCCAAAGCCGGGTTACGGGGTGCTCCCCGGGCACAGGCCGCCCGCCCGCGCTCTATTCCTGGCCGGCAACAGACTGCATAAAAAAACGTGGAAAAAATCGTTGTCGCCTTTATTTCTAAGCGTTTGCAAAGTTGATGCCTAAAAAACCCCAAAATAATAAAAGAGAAAAAACAAATAAAGAGCCCAGAAAAAAAACCCACACAACAAAAAAAAACCAACAAAAATCCCCGAATGCCAAGTTGTAAAATGTCTGAGCGCTGCCCTTATTCCGCGGGGGTGTTTCATGTTGAAAAGACGCTGTTCTTTTGGTTGGGTTTCGCTTTACTTTAAATTACATTAAATTTGCAGGGGTTTTTATATAAATATATAATATGTTTATTTACTTATTTAAGGGATTGTTATGGTAGATTTTTTCTATTATTATTAATAATTATTATTATTTTTTGCTTGTACTCTGTGTGCACAGGTGACTTGTAGAGCATGTGCAGGACGAAACTGTATGAAGCAGCCTAAACCCATAATAAAATATTTGATGAACGACCCTCGCATCTGCTTTGAAATGACTGTGTCAGTCTCAAGCCCGCCAGGTTATGCAGAGCCCATCTCCGAGGCCACGGAGATTTCAGCATCAGCTCGGCAGCAACCGAAAGAGCCGGGTCCCCGTACCGGCGTAATGTCTTTGCAGGGCAGGGAACCAGGGGTGGCGGGATGCGGCGAGAGGGGCCAGGGCTGGCGGAGGATCGGGGAGACCGGGGAAGGGAAGGAGAAGGCATCGCCACAGCTTCTCCTCTCCCAGAGGCCGAGGCTTTGGGGTGTATCGTCGGCGAATTTTTGGACAGGGACGAGAGAAAAAGAAGGCATAAAAAAAAGAAAAAAAGGGGGGGGGGGGAGGAGGGGGCGAATGGCTTGGGACAACCCATCCGGAAAAAACAAGCTTCCTCCCTCACCTGGCAAATGCATGGAGAAGATGCGGAATTAACAGCCCTCCATGTCCGCCAAGGGCAGATCGGGGGCGAAATAACCCCAAAATCGAGCTCCTGCCATGTGCCCGGGGCTGTGCCCACCACTCCCCTGTGTCGCTTTGTTTGGCGGCGATTTTCCTGGAGGGCACCAAAAGCCAGGTCTGAGGAGCATGCTAAGCTCCCCCCCCCTCCCCAAGCAGAAGGATTTTATATTATACAATTTGACATTGATCTTTAAATCGCCTGAGCTGTGCTTTTTTTGTCTGCTCGGTCTCATCGCGTTTACTTCTCTGGCCTCCGAGAGATGCCCCCTCGGTAAGCTGATTGCTCAGCTAGTTTTTCTCGGGAGGTGAAGCAGGGCAGAGCGATGAACCAGATCCCCTGCAATGGCACAGGGGCCATTTCAGCTCCGTGATGGACTGATTCGGTCGTGCTGCCTTTTCTCGGGAGGTGCATTCCCGTCTCAGCAGTGGCTTTTCCCCGTTTGCATTTAAAGCCTGACAGGCGTTGGCACCGCCGGTGTCTAAATCTGCATTTCATCCCCGATGCATGTGCCTTGATTTTCCCCACTGACAGGGATGGGACAGGTAGCAGCTATTTAGTACCTGTCTTTTAAGTCCGTTTACAGGCAACTCTCTTCCCCGGCGGGGTGTAATTCAGGGTGTCGGAAGAGGCAAATAAGCCGCATTTTGCGAGTGCGGGAAGTGGGGGTAGAGCGGGGGGTTCCAACTCTATTTTGGGAGGAACCCACCTGCGGAAGGGTCCGGAGCGCACCTTGCACCCCAACCCTGCACCCGAGCCCTGCTCCAGGTTTGTTGCTGCTTAAACCCCAGCAGTTTTTTTCCCCACAGAGCTAAGCAAGGGCAGCCAGGCTTTGCTGCTCACCCCTCAAGCGAGGTCGGGGTTTGCCTTGGTTTGGGGGTAGCGCTTTTCACTTTCGAGCTGGGGTTGGGAAATAAAAGCGATTTACGTCCTCAAAACGGAATCTCCGGAAATAAACTGTGTTCTTTCTTTTCTTCCCCGGGAATCGGTGGAGCGGATTGCCATTTCTGCGCTGGCTCCTGCGGGCATAGCAGCGTTTACTGCTGGGGATTAAAGCTCTCGAAAAGACGTAAAAAGAGGTGGAGAATTATGTTAATATGTTCGCTCAGCCTCTCATAACGTGGAATTTCTTTTTAACTAAAAACAAACAAACAAACAAACAAACAAAACCCAAAAAGAAACCACAGACAAGAAACAAAACAGCACCACCCCACCCCACCCCCCGCCATAACAGCAACAAAAACACAAACAAAAAAAACCCTGGAATTTAGGCAACATATATTATTAGTATTATGTATTTCGACAAAGTTTTTGAGGAGTATAACGGGTGTTGGACCTCCGGAGTGGGCTAGGGAGGGACACAGCACAAATCAACCGTTTGGGACAGAGAGGAGTGGAGCGCGGAGACACGCCGAGAGGAGCAGTCCCGGGCCCCCTTCTTGCTGCTGTGGGAGGATGAAGAGGACTGAGCATCTCCCAGCCCCGCTCACCCCCAGAGGCCGCGCCGGCCGCCTTCAGTTGTAACGGTAAAACCCACGGAAGAACCCCTCTTCTCTCCCCTCCTTCTCCCCCTCCTTTTTATTTTTTCCCTTCTGCCTTTTCCCTTCTCGCATTGAAAGGGAATGCCTTTTCCCTGGCATTTTCAGCAGTTGTATTTTTTCCCGAAGATCGGCCCAAGCCATCGCTCTGCCCAGTCTTCGGCTGTTTTAAAAATAATAACAATTATAATCGAGAAAGGGGTGGGGACCTTGTATTTACATTAAACAAAACGCTCAGAAAAAGGGTCTCTAAAAAGTCTGCCTTGACCCTTCTCTCTCTATCAAAAGTGAAGTGAATGGAGAGGGTGGATAAGAGAAACAGCTTTTCCTCTCTTCAGCTTGTGGGGGGGGGGGGGGGGAAGGGGGGGAGGAGGAGAAATGTTTGAATATTTCCGTTTCTTTTGAGAAGTGGGGCAGCCCCGGGCAGGGCTGAATGGGAAAGTCTTGTAAGCGGGCTGGGAGGCTGTCAAACTGCTCAGAGTAATCACTGCTAATGAAGGGGTCTCCAGGCCTCCCTGGGACAAAGGATGCTTACGAGTGCTTGCCGGGGCTGAATAGCTAATAAGTTTGCAAGGGGAAAAAATGAGTGCGCTGTCCTCAAATTGATTTTGCAAGAGAAAAAGAAAAAAAAAAAAAGAAAAAAAAAAAAAAAAGAAAGGAAAGCAAAAGGCTTGCAGGTTGGGCAAAGCCGGGCCCCGGTGCAGCTGGGGACAGTAGACCCACTTATCCGGCACACATTGTCCCAACCCCGGCACTGCAGAGGAGGGCTGCTGCTGTTTGCGGTACAAACCGGTGTGGAAGGAGGGCTAGGGGATGCAGGAGCCTTGGAAAAGCCACACCGGCCTTTCCAGGCTGGGAGCTCTGCCCCAGCTGCTGCTTAGCGCACATGGGTGCTCCCACCCCAGTCTTTGCGCTCCAGTTTGCACAAGCCTTGCAGAGCACTCATCGCAGCCCCATCCCGCAGCCCCATCCCACACCCCGATCCCACAGAAGGGAGCAACTGTGTCCTAATTGTTCTGCCACCACCTCTGCCCCTTGTCCAACTACAGCATTTTCTTTGCAGACAGAAAAAGTAGTGGCTGTGTGAAAGCTCTTGAGTATTTTGCCGCCACCAGCACCCTCTTTGGCTGGTAGGGCTTGGGTCTGCTTTGACTTGCTGGCCTGGGAGCTGGGTGGTATCAGAGGTTAGAAAGGAGACTGTGTTCACCAGGAGGTGTGGGTTCATTGGGAAGTACTCTTGTGTGACAAGAAGACCGTGTATTTCATAGCTGGGGAAGCATGAAAGCAGGCTGCATTTTAGACCTTTCATGCATCCAATTAAAGGCTTGGGAGGATCAAATTCTATTGCAGATCCAGTTACCCCTGGCCAATGCAGGGGTAATACCCTGAGAGAGTGCATAATACTCCCCAACAATGTCTGTACCTGCCTGGCACTGACTTTATTGTATTTGTGTTATTTCTTTCTTTTCCAGAAGATACAAATGTGTTTGCTGGAGGGGAGGTTGGAGGTGTGGGAGGCCAAAGGGAAAGGGTGCAGTGTGGTGCAGAAATTGCCAGATTTTGAGTTGTGCCCTCCCCAAGGCCACCCCGCAGCCCCAGCACCTGCAATGGGGCCCAAACCCTGGGCTGACCTTGGTGTGCTCCCACACCGAGGGGGCCTGGAAGGTGAGATCTAGCTGGGAATCAAGGGAAGGAGTATGTCATCTTCAATGCCCTGAGGGATACAGCACTTCTCACTCTCTCAGCATTTATTCTCTGCACTGGAGTGATAGATAAAGCCCTTGGATTTCTGTTCCCTTCTGTTTCAGGACAGGCTGCAAGACCTTCAGCAAAAGGCCAGGAAATGGCTTCTCTTCCTTCATCACTTGCTATGCTCAGTCTAAGCCCTCCCAAAATGCAGAATTCCCTAAAAAGCCCATTGTAGCCCTGTTGTCTTCTGGTCCGTGACATTGGCCTCTATAGCACACATCTTCCCCTTCAAGAAATGTGGCTTGGAGGGAAGTTTACAGCTTCAAACCTTATAAATACAGAGTAGGTTCACATATTTGTTCCTTCTGCTCCTCACAGAGGCTGGGGAGAAGCACTGCTGCCCCAAAACCCTCCACACTTGGTTGTCTCCTTACATGTAGCAGAGCTGGTGCTACTCCATCCTAGGAGTGGCATCCCTGGGGCACCAGCCCTCACCACCACTTCCACTGTTTTGGTCCCGGAAAGCCTAAAAATGGTGCCAATCACTCAGTGCTCTCCCCTCCCAGGCTCTTCTCAAACTACATAACCCAACGGGCTTTTCTTTCATCTTGGAATTGACCCATAGTGCTGAGCTAAACCCACCTCTGTGGCCTTCCCCACTCTGACCCAAACACATGGCACATGTGGGGTGGGATCTGCTCCCTCCACAGGAAAAAGTGTCCCCTCTACAGCAATGCCCAA